AGTCTTCGGTCAGCTTTATAGCCCGGCCGCCCTCTGGCCAGCGAGGGGCCGACATCCGCGACCCCCGCGCGCCGCCCTCAGCCAGCCCACCAAAGCCTGCCCCTGGCCGGCTTCCAGCCGGCCCTCGGCCGGCCGGAGCCTTCAGCCGGCTTCCAGCTGGCCTTCAGCCGGCCTCGCCCCCTTCGCCGGCCTTGAGCTGGCCCTTAGCTGGCTTCTACTTGGCCCTATAGGAAGTCCTTAGCTGGCCTCTAGCCAGCCCCGCTCTTATCTGGGCGCCTGAAATGGGCGCGGAAAGAATGGGCACAATGCCCAACAGCAGTTCCTGTTCACTTTGAACAGGATTCGCTGTCCGCGCCGCCGCGGACTGCGTCCATTCGAGACAGGGGGCCGCCTGCCCAACAGCGGCCGCCGTTGGTTTGGGACAACATGTGTTGTTGAGCGTGGTTGCCCATTTCCGTGCCCATTTCGGGCGTCCAAATCGTAGGCTGCCTCTTTTCGCTGGCCCTCGGCCGGATAGCCGGCCTTGCTGGCCTCTGCCTGGCCGCCAGGCTTGCAGCCGGCCTCTAGCCAGCGGTCGAACTGGCCCATGAGCCAGCCCTCAGCCAGCTTCTCGCCGGCCCTGAAAAAGCTTCTCGCCGACCCTCAGTCGGCTTGGCCGGCCCCGAACCGGCGTCGCCGCAATCTACAGGGCGTCCGCCAGCCGACCTCGGGGGGGATCCACAACATGGATCCCCCTTTGAAGGCCCGGCGACGACGGGGAGGGAAGGATGTGGCTTTACGATTATAGGGACGACGGACGCGTTGACGGACAACAGACCAAGGACGACGGACGACGGACGACGACGGTCGACGACGGACGACGACGACCGCCACGACGACCACGACGACCACGGCGACGACGCGACGACACGACGACGACGACGGGCTCGACCAGGGCTCCGCCAGCCGATTCGGGGGGGATCCACAAAATGGATCCCAAGGCCCGGCAACGACGGGGAAGGAGGGGGAAAAGGAACAGGATGTGGTTTTACGACTAGGGACGACGGACGCGATGACGGACGACAGACCACGGACGACGGGCGACGACGGACGACCGACGACGACGACGACGACGACCACGACCACGACGACCACGACGACGACGACGACGACGGGCGCGACGACGACGACGACGACGACCACAGCGGACGCGACGACAGACGACGTGCGCGACAACGGACTAAGGGGGGTGCCCGGGAGGGCGCTCAGGGTTGAAGGGGGGTGTTTTGGGTTACAATTACAAGGCCGTGGATTTCTGGGCTGAGAAGCCTCGCGGGTGTCTGAGTGTGGAAGCTTCGAACTAGACCAGGGCCCCCCCGCATCGCCCTTCGCCCGCGCCAGGGGCGTCGTCTCCACCTTCATCGCCCCGGTCATCGCCGCCGTCGGCTCAAGCGCCCAGGCTCTCTTGAGCCAGATGGCGGCAAGCGCTCCGTTGGGGCGCGATTTCTCACTGGCCACAGTGCTCGCCCCCCTTCCACCGGCGGCCTTCGGTGATGTGGCGCGGCTGCTTTCCGCGGTCCCCTCGGCCTTGGCAGTGCCTTTCGTCCGGGTGTTCGCGGAGCGGAAACACGGGGTCGAGTTGCCCGACAACGCCGTGACGAATGTCATTTGGAAGCTCGCTCACTATCTTAACACCGGCAAGGGCGTTGATTTTGATTTCAACATTCCGTACTTCAAATAACTGCAAAAGCTTGTGCCTTCGGCCCCCGCAGTTGAGGTGCGCTCCACTCACGGTCGCTGCCCCCGGCGCCACGCTGCAGACCTCCAGAAGTGCGCCCCAAAGACAAGCAGCCGGGCGGCCTTCAATGTTCGACGGCGCAATGGCGGCGAGATGGTTCTGGAGACCCGGTGCCGCGTTTACACCGTGGGCGCCGGGATCCAGAACGCCTCATTCTCGGAGGAATACTGCCCCAAGTGCGCCTTGCATTTCCTCGGGCGGTGGCAGTGCGAGAAGCACGACAGAAGTAGCGGGCGAGGGACTTACGGGAAGATGATAAACATCAAGCTCGTTTCGGGGTCCAGCTCCCTCAAGTATTTCTTCGTTCCGCGCGAGAAGGCTTGGCACGCCGTCGACGCGAAGTTATTGCAGTTCCTCGCGGACGAGCTACACCACAGCGGGGGGACATTCAATTCTGCAGTTCTGGCATGGGGCGAGCAACGCACTGAGCTCGCGCAGCGAGGGCTGATTCCTGGCGAAGACTTGACGCTTCTACGAGCCAATGGCGTTCGCTTGGAGGACGCTTGGTATGCGCACCACGCTGCCCGCCTTGCCGGCGGCGCCGCATCCGAACTCACGTGGTCTTTCACCAGGGGCGGCTTGGAGTCGACGTTGCTCGCTCTCGCGCCAGCCGTGCGCCAAGCCCACGTCGAGCGCGCCGTTGAGCACGCCCGCACTTGCCCGAAGTGTGCTGGCGATCTCCTTGTCCTTCTGGACGGGAAATACGGCGCGCGTCGATTCATATGTGGTGGGCTGGACGGTTACGAAAACGTGGGCACGCTGCAGATGGAACTCTACACGGGGTGTCTGCAGAATGCCCCCGCCGGGCGATTCTTCTGCGCTCGATGTCAGACGGCGTGTGCTGGACAGAACAATCTCATCCCGCAGACGCAGATTTTGGGCATCGCTCCCGCGGCCGCCCCGAACGGCGGAGCGTCTGCCCTGAGATACTTGGTGCGCTGCTCGGATCCAGACAATCCGAGCGAGACCTTCGACGCCTTTCTGCCGAGGGCGGAAGTATCACAAGAGCTGCTAGCAACCTACAAGAAGTCTCTGCTTCCAGCAAATGGAGACCATGGGAACAAGAAGGCGCGGCCTGCGTGGCTCAAAGGCCACCGACAGGTCACGCGCTGGCTGAAGGCGCAGAACCCAGCGTGCCGAGGGGGCGCCAGCCCCGGGGCCGCCGCCGCTGCTCGCGGCCGAGGCGCGGGCGGCCGCGCGGCCGCCAGGGGGCGAGGCGGCGCCCGGGGGCGCCGCGGCCGCGGTCGCACTTCCGCGGCGACGGCCCGTTCCCGCCGACCAGCGGCAGCAGGGCTGCCAAGGAAGCGGAAGGCGCCCGCGCCGAAGCGAGCTGGCCGCCCCGATTTCACGGCCGCCCGCCCCTCTGCGCCACAGCCGCCGAGTCGCCCCACGCGCGGCGGCGGCGGCGACGCTGCAGGTGCGAAGCGCCAGCTTTGCCGCGGCTGGCTTGCGCTGGACGACGAACAGAAGCAGTCGATCCTGGCCTGCGGCGTCGACAAGCTCCAGGGCTCCGACAAAGTCCGGAGATGCACTGGCGGCATTATGACGGCCGTCACGTCTTGCGGCTGGCTCGTGGATTGGATGGAGCTGACCCGCGGCGAATCCATCGAGGTCGTGTACGCCTTCGCCTTGCGGCTCCACAAGGACCCTCGTCGCCGCGGGGCACTTTGCTCGATCTGGCGCCCCGCGAAGATGGGCGGATGATCCCCAGGAGGGAGGAAAAGGGGTAGGAGCGGGACAACACAGCGCCGAAGAGCTCCGGGCGGCCCCCGCCGCGCGACTCGCGAGTGCAGCTGCGCTGCGTTGTCCAAGTTTGCCTTTTTCCTCCCAGCGGAGCCCCCGCTCGCCTTCGTGGGCCCCTCGATCGCTCGAGAGGGCGCCCCAGGCCTCGGCTGCGTCATCGGGTGGCTCGGCTACGACAACGCCTGCAAGTTGCTCTCCATGGCACGCGCCGGGAAAGATGATTTTCTGCCGTGGGCGAAATCGCTGGCTGAGGAAGTGCGCATTGTCCTGGACGGTTTCCACAGGGACAACCACACGTGGTGTCTGAATGCGCTCCCGGAAGTTGACCCGCTGCAGCCGGCGAACGAGAAGTTTTTGGCGTTGAAGAACACGGAGGCTTGCGAGCAGCTCAATGCGTGGACCAGCCCCCGGACGCGCATGCGCCTCGAGATGACGAGAGCCCATTTCCAGCTCCACTGGTGGGTATCATGGCTGATTCGCCATTCCCGGCTGCGCCCTTCACGCTCGCGGGGCCCACGAGCGCTCTTTGCTGGCGGGCGGGCGAGGCAGGTTGAGGGCTCCCGGGTCGAGATCTTCGGACCCCCCCCCGCGCGCCGCGCACCGCTGGTCCGACGGGTGCCCCCATCGGGTCTTGCGGAGTCTGTTCGATGTCCATAACGAGCGGCTGCAGCGCGCGGCGGCGAGCAAGCGCCGCCGCTTCGCCGCCGGGGCCCTGAAGCACGACCTTGACCTGCCGGCCCCGCGCACGCGCCCGGCGGCTTGAGCGGAGTGATCTGGGCCAGGGCAGCCGAGGCCGCAAAGGCGACCTCGATTGCGCGCCCGCCTTGGCCCCGCCCCCGCGCGAAGCCGCGGCGGGCCCGAGCGACGCCAAGGGGGGCGATTGGCGGGGCTTGCGCAGGCGGGGGCGATCGACCTCACGTCGCCATTGCGTCGCCGATCGGGGCCCGGGCCCCGCGCGGCCCATGCCGACCCATCGTCGATGCATCGCCGAATCCAAGTCGTTCTCCCCCGCCGAGCCAGCAGGCCCGCCCGTCGCCCCCCTCGGCCGCGTGCGCAGGGGCGCGCCGTCCCAGCAATGCATTTGGCCGCCCGAAGGAAAATCTGGCGGCTCTCGACGAGGCCCAGGAGCGGCGCCACTGGGCATTTCGTTTATTCGATTCGGCGAACTGGCCCCACGAGGCATCCGCGCCCCCCACGGGGCCCCTCCGAGCCCGCCCGCGGCAAGCTCTCTCGCCGCCGCAGACCTTATCGACCGAGTCTGCGCGGCGTGCCGCCCGCTGGCCGCGCCGCCCGCCCGCCCCTGCTAGGCCCGCGCTGCTGGCCGCCGCGCCGCCTGCCAGCGCATTGATGTTCGCGCTGTGCTTCCGCATTGCGGGCGTCGCCGGGGCGGGGAAGGGCGCCCGTCGAATGGCCCGCCCCGCGGAGGGCGCGCTACCCCCCGCGCTCACCAAGGGGGGGGATCCGAGCAGCCTATCGCCTAATGGAGAGTCAAGACCCATTTCCCGAGGAGGTCGCGCGGCGCGCGCCGCCGCTGATGTGGGCCATCGCGACTGCGCTGGGGAAGGCGACGTCGCTGCACCCCTCCTGCGTGTACGTCCACATCCTGCTCCTCATTGCGACGACGTTGGGCGCTGTCCAGCTCAAGTACGGCGGGATCCTCGCGCGCCACTGCAACCTGCTCATGCTGCAGCACGGCGAGCCGGGAGATGGCAAGTCCATTGCCTTGTGGCTCGACGTTCAGATCCTGTCCTACTACGACCAGGTGAGAGAGGCCCGCGCCAAGCGGAGGTACGATGCCGCTCTCGAGAGGCATGAGCGAGACCTGGTGACCGAACCCAAACCAGAAAAGAAGCCAGAGAAGGATTCCATTTTCAACAAGGGCACCTTCATTGGCCTTGGAGGGTTCACGCAGGCGCAAGAGGATACCGCGTTCCTGGCGCTGCACGAGGGGAAGACGTGGCTGCCCCAGACGTTCGACAGTGGGCCTGGCGGCGGCATTGATGACCTCAACCAGATCCACGACCACGACCTCTACAATAATCACCCCGGTAACAGCCAAAATAGGTTCCGCGTCAGGAGCCCGCACTTGTGCGGGGCAGTCATGATGCACGTCGAAGAGGTTTATGACCAGGCGCATAAACCAGACTCAACAGCGGGCATGATGCGCTTCCTCGTGGGCCACTTCATCGCGGTGGTCAACAAGATCTTGCCCGACTTGCCCCCGCCGCAGCTTGCCCGGATTCTGGATAGCGACCCGAATTACTTCAACGATCTGACCTACGACGACGTCGTGGAAGCGCTGGGGGGGGGGGTCACGCTGGTCTCGTCTCTCCTGTTCCCGAAGGGCAAGGAGCGCCGTGACGAGAGGGGCTCGAGCGACCGCTTCTCCAGAGCTCGCGGGACGCACTTCCTGCCCTGGGCCCCAGAAGTCAAAAGGAGCACTTCCGCACCGAGTTCAACAAGTCTGCCGATTTCGTCCGCGGCGAGGCCCGGGCGTCCAAGGGGGATAACGAGGACAGCGGATATTCCGCCGTCCAGAAGGACATGACGCGGACGCCCCAGTTCATCCCGCCGATCGACGTGGGGGAGAAAGTGGTGGGATTCCTCCTGGGGAAGGCTGGCAAGAGTGATAGCCAGGTACAGGAGATGACTGGGGAGGTGATTGTGGAATGTTTGGGGAAGCGTGCCCACGCGAACATCGATGCCCTATTGGACGACTTGGGCCCGTCCCACATTCCCCCCGAGGTGACGCGGCCATCAGTTGACGCCGCCGTGGCGTTGGGGGACTGGTTTGCTAAGAACTTCCAGATGACGGTGCGCGCCAAGGAGGTAACCGAAGACTTCATGGAGGCCTGCGCGCTTCGCATCCATGCCGCCCCCCACCCTCGCGTCTGCGGAAAGGCTCGTAGGGCATGATATCGTGTCTAAGGTGAACCCCATGCTGACCTTGCAGCGCATCGACAACAATTGGAACGTCACAGCTTTCGCGCAGAACCCCTTCACCACCGACGCCGGCATCAGGGCTTTGCAGCTGGATTACGTCATTCTGACGCACATGGGCTTCCTCTTCGTAGAAGACGGTCGCGTCGCTGCGGCTGCGTACGCGGCCGACAGCGAGAGCTTCGTGAGAGCCGCCAACCGCATGATGAAGTGGGACCCCAGCGTCGTCCTCCGCGACCTGCGCGAGTTGGCGCCCGAGGGCGCTGCGGGCGCGCGCGAGGAGGGGGACCAGGGCGTGGCCGATCAGATCTGCCAAGGCTTGAAGGACATGCTCGACGGCAAGCCGGTGGATCTTGACCCGCTCCGCGCTCTGGAGGCCCCTCTCGTCGCCGAGGTGCGCGGCCAGAGCGTGCCAGCGTCGCAGGTGGGCGCCCCTCCGCCCGTGGGCCCGCCGAGCCAGCTCGGCGCTTCGGCCGCGACAGCGTCGGGGCTCAGGCTCGCGCAAGCCGCGCCCCCGGCCGCAGACGAGGCAGGAACTGGAGGCTCTCGCAAAAGGATGCGCACTGAGGCCCCGCTGGCGGAGGACAGTTTCGAGGAGGAGCCTGGGCTCAAGAAGAGGATCCTGGTGTCTATCCTGAGCAGCGCTCAGAACCCGTACGCGGCTGCCAAGAACAAGTCCTCGTTCACTGGGGCCACCCCAGAGGTCATCGAGAGTTCCATGCGCCTGATGATTCGGTTCGCCGGCGCCGCTGGCTTCGGCACGCTCCAACACGGAGGGTCCGCGGTGCAAATGCACCAGGTGCCTGCCGAACACAAAGACGCTGTTTACCAGGAGCTCCAATCACGCTTGGGCCTCACGCCAAAAGGCACAAAGAAGATGAATGATGCAAATGATGCTCGGGTGCCGTCGTCGGACTTCGACTTCGCAAACTTCATGAGCAAGGCCCCCCTTCTGGGGGACAGCTTGAAGAACGCCGCCTGATGTCGGCACGGCGCGCGAACATGGTGGCGTTTCCGCTTCGGCGCCGCTCGCTGCACACATGGTTGCGGCTTTGGTTTTTGATTCATTCCACGCGGACCTGGGAGAACACACAGGCGCGCCCATCCATTCGATGTGATCGTCTCTTATCAGAGCGAGGGGGCCGAACGGCATTCACTGTCCCTGGGTGCGTGGCTTGAAGTGGGATTCCGCGGTGCGGATTATTGTTGTTGTTGTTGTTGCTTGTTGTTGTTTGTTGTTGTTTTTTGTTGTTGTTGTTTGTTGTCGTCGTCCCACCCGCAACCCGCCCCGCGACCCACCCGCGACCCACCCCGCGACCCACCCCGCGACCCACCCGCGACCCACCCGCGACCCGCCTGCGACCCACCCCGCGAACCACCCCGCGACCCACCCGCGACCCGCCTGCGACCCACCCCGCGACCCACCCCGCGACCCACCCCGCGACCCACCCCGCGACCCACCCGCGACCCACCCGCGACCCACCCGCGACCCACCCCACGACCCACCCCGCGACCCACCCGACCCACCCGCGACCCACCCGCGACCCACCCCGCGACTCACCCGCGACCCACCCGCGACCCCCGCGACCCACCCGCGACCCACCCGCGACCCACCCGCGACCCACCCGCGACCCCCCGCGACCCACCCGCGACCCACTAGACTTTCGACCCGAACCACGTTCAAGGTACAAACCACAATTTTCGGCGCCTGCGGCGTTTTTTTTTTGGGGGGGGGTGCATTTCGGGTGGAGAGCCCGCGACCAACCAACTCGCGACCTAAACCACGTTCAAGATACAAACCACATTTTTCGGGGCCTGCGGCGGGCATCTTTTGCATTCGCTTCAGGTGGAGAGCCCGCGGCCCACCCGCGACCACGTTCAGGGTACAAACTATTTTTTCGGCGCCTGCGGCGGGCATGCAAACCAATTGTTTCGGCGCCTGCGGCGGGCTGCTTTTGCATTCCTTCCAGGTGGAGGTGGAGAGCCCGCGACCCACCCGCGACCTAAACCACGTTCACTGAACAAACCAATGCCGCACAAGCGCGGCGGCGGATTTTTGCATGCCGTCTGAGCCCGCAACGACCTCTTCAAGCCCCGCGCATCCACACCAGCCCGTCCAGCAATTTTGCCCTGGCGAGTTGCCTTGATCAGAGAAGTCGGGGAGCATAAAGTGGAAAAAAGGATTGCGTTGCCGTTATCTTGGGAAAGGAGGGGGAGGCAGGAGGAGTAAACAGGGGACGAGGAGGACGCGGAAGAAGAGAGGATGTAAGGAGAATGTGGAGAAAGAGGAGCAGGTGGACGAGGAGGGGGAGGAGGGGGAGGAAGGGGAGGAGGAGCACGAGGAGGGGGAGGAGGGGGAGGAGGGGGAGGATGATGATGATGGACGACAATGGGGACGGACGATGATGGAAGGACGAGGGGGGGAGAGGGAGGACGAGGAAGAAGAGGAGGAGGAGGAGGACGAGGTGGAGGAGGAGGATGACGATGACGATGAGGACGAGGACGAGGAAGAGAAGGAGGAGGAGGAGGAGGAGGAGGAGGAGGAGGAGGAGGAGGAGGAGAGCGTCATCGAAGGGAAGGTGGGGGCCACGAGGTCTGCCGGATCGACGACGCCCGCGTCGCCCGCGCCCGACCCCTCATTCTTATCCGCAATTGCGGGGTGCTACGTATTCTTTGCCAGCGATCACATGGACACGCTGCCCTTCGATGTCCGAAGCGGGAGCGGCTTCACCTTTTCCCAATCGTCACCGCCACACGATCACATCATATCATCATCAACATCATCATCGAAGACGCACACAGCCAATTACCGCCGCCCCCCTGCTTGTTGGGGAACGCCTCTGTGGTCAAACGTTGGACCCTAGCTTGGCCAAGCTATCGGATAATGTGTCCCCCCCAGCCGCTGTGGAAATTCTGGGGGGAACGCTATCGGATTACGCGTCCCCCCAGCCGTTGTGGAAATTTGTGGGGGAACACTGGGGGGAGGATGAAAGGGAGGATCAGGGAAGGAAGGAAAATGATGATGACGATGATGGTGATGATGGTGATGATGATGATGGTGACGCTGCTAATGACGATGCTGCTGCTGCTGCTGATGATGATGATGATGATGCTGCTGATGATGATAGTGATGACGATGATGTTGATGAAGCGCCCTCCATGGCGGAGCTCCTGGAAGCCACGTGACCACAGAACAATAATCAGACCTTGTCCGACTGTTTTTTGCATCCCAGAGAAAGGGTAAATTCGTGAACAAATCTGTGGTGGGCGGCGGGATCTATCGAGCTGACGGGATTGAAAGCTGTGGTCCACCCGCTGTTGTCCCACCTGAGCACTCTGCCACGCGAAAATATGGAAAAACGCTTTCGAGGGGATGCCGAAAGAGGAGGATGATGATGAGGAGGAGGAGGAGGAGGAGGAGGAGGAGGAGGAGGAGGAGGAGGAGGAGGAGGAGGCGGCATCTTGGGAGCCTCTTGGGGCACTCGTGGGGCCTCCTGGGAGCTTCTTGGGGGCCCTTGGAGGCCTCGTGGGGGCCTTTTGGGGGCCTCCCGGGGGCCTTTGCGGTTTTCGTGGGGGCGTCTGTGGCCGTTTTACCGCGTTCGTGGCCCGTCTGACGCCGTCGGGAGCCGTCTTGGGGCCATATCTGCACCGACTTGGGCCCCCCTTTGGATGCATCAGGGCCGTCTCGGAGGCCCAATTCGTGCGTCTTGGAAACCTCTTGGGCCGTCTTGGAGCTCTCAAGGGGCCGTCTTGGGGGCCTCTTGGGCCGTTCTGGGGCTATCTTGGAGGCCTCTTGGCCGATTTTGAGACGATTTGGGGGGGCGGTTGGGCCGTTTTGGGCCGTCGGAAAGCCGATAGAAGTAAATGCCAACATCCTGGCGTGGTATACGTCTGAAGCCGTGGTTTTGGTTCTTCTCCAATGGAAAATCCCCTTGGGGCTTCGCCAAGCGCGCTGGCCTCTCGAAAAGCCGCCCTCAACATACGGGTCGGTTTTCGGGCCGTAGATGGTCCAAGATGGCTTTCCAGACGGCCCGGGAGGGTGCAGGATTCCTCCAAGTCAGCTAGACAACCACCAGGTCGGCCCAAGAGGGCCTCAAGATGTCCGAAGACGGTCCAAAAGGCTTCCAAGAGGCCTCCAAGACGGCCCAAGAAGCCTTCAAAGAGGTACTCGGGGCAGGCCCGAAGAGGCCAAAATCATGAATTATCATCCGGTTTATGCAGGCACCGCTGTGATAAATGAACAAGGGGCGGCGGATCCAGTGGCCTTCGGCCCATCCCGCCACTATGTTTGGGATGTGGGTCAAAGGCTTGTTGGATGCTGGTTCGGGTGTCTTGAGGTTTCCGCGGGGGCCTCGCGGGAACAGTTTTGAAGCTTCCTGGGTGCTTCTTCGAGAATTTTTGGGCTCTTTTGAGCGACATCATGGCGGCCGGGACCCGGCCCAGACCCGGTGCCCAGGCTCGGCCCGGACCCGGACCCGGCCCGGACCCGGCCCGGACCCGGCCCGGACCCAAGACCCGGCCCGGACCCGGCCCGGACCCGGCCCGGACCCGGCCCGGACCCGGACCCGGCCCGGCCATTATAGCGGCCCAGACCCGGACCCGGCCTGGACCCGGCCCGGACCCGGCGTCCCGGACCCGGCCCGGACCCGGCCCGGACCCGGCCCTGACCCGGGGTTTGCTTTACCCGCCCCGGTCCTTGTCAACACCGCCCTCAATAATTTGAAGTTTTTATTCTTCTTAGGAAATTTCAGGCTTACCCTGCAATTTCAAGCCCCAGGCCGGCCCCAGAAGAATAATATTGCATTTAGTTTTGTTTCAGAACAGATGGAGATTCTTGGGAAATTCGAAGGTAACCCTCGAAGTTCCCACAAACAAGAGAAGTTGTTTTATCGATAGGGTTGAATAGCTTTCAGCGCCCCGTCATTGTTTTGAGTTTCTTTTTTTCGTCCAAAATCCTCCTGTAGGGGGACATGCCCGACCTAAGATTACATATGTTTGTTGTGCTTTTTGCTCCTCCACCCACCCCTTCCTCTTCATCATCCTCATCTACCTTTCGCTGCTCAAGAGCAACGAAACGAAGGGGGACGACGACTGGCAGCATGTCCTGCTCACGTTTGTGATGCCAGTTCCGCAACTAACTTTGCTGGGCCACTGCATGCCAAGCGTCGTCGGCGCAACAGAGGTCGTTGTCGACATCGTATCGCATTTTTTGTCGGGCGTTGTCCCCATCCGTATTGTCCCCATTTCGGGCGGCCAGTCTTCATCCTCCCACCTCGGTTCTACGGACACGGTCCGCGCTGTCATCACATTGGGCATCGGCCTCAAGTACCTCGACACGTTCATTGAGCAGTTGGTTAAAACCTTGAGCCCTGACGCCAAGGGCTGGATTGTGGACCTCTCCCCTGATACTGCCGTCACTGGCACACTGCTGGCATCCTTTCCGTCGGACCTATCCACCTTCAACAAGTCGCTGATTCTGGCGACGGAGGCGTCGAAGGCTGGGAGCCGCGGCGACTACTTGGAGACCATCTCCAAGAAAGTCAGAGACGATCACGCTGGAGATTGGCTCACGCTCCCAAGCGTGGTCAAGTTCGACTATGAGCAGGACCTCGTCCAGGCCCATCGCATCTCCGACGGCTCTGGCCTGGAGTGGCTGTTCGTCCTCAGCGTGCCCCGCGAGGTCTTCTGGGGCAATTTGACGCTGGCCCGCAACTTTACGATCATCGGGGTGTGTTGCCTCACAGCTGGCATGTGCCTGGTCCTGTTCATCCTGTCTTGCATCGTCAGCAAGCACCTGATGTCGCTCGGGAAGAAGATGGCACTGGTCGCAGAAATGAAGGTCGACTCGTGCAGCTCGGAAGGGCTGTCCATGTATAAGGAGGTCTCGGGGGTGGGCAGAACCCCCACCCTGACACGTCGATTAGTGAACTGTCCGTTTTCGGTTCTCGAGAGGGCGCCGCGGCCGTCATTTTCCAGGCTTGCGCCCGCCAGGTTTGGGCCCGAGGTCGTTTTCACAGAACCACGTTTTACACTAAAGGGGGTTCTATCCATCCCCGAAGGTCAGCGAGATGGAGGTCAGCTTCAAGACGATGAAGCAGAAGCTGCGGGAGTTCTGGACCGACGAGCAGGCCCGCCACCAGAAGCGCGAGGAGTCGCACCGGCGGCGGCTGCGCACACGGGTTCTCTCGGCCATAGCAGACGCCTGCGGTTGATCAGCGCAACCCTTTTCCGGGGGGCGACGCCCCAAAGCGCCACATGTTGGGCCGAAGTCTGGCAAAGCTATTGGGCTATGTGTTCCCCCGGCCGCTGTGGACCCCCTTCGGGGAAGTCCCGCAAGGGGGAGAGGGGGAGGAGGAGGAGGAGAGGCAGGAGAAGGAGGACAAGGAGGAGGAGGAGGAGGAGGAGGAGGAAGAGGAGGAGGAGGAGGAGGAGGAGGAAGAGGAGGAGGAGGAGGAAGAGGACGAGGAGGAGGAGGAGGAGGAGGAGGAGGAGGCCTCTCGAGGCCCTCGTGGAGCCTCCTGGGTGTTTTCTGGGAGTCTCTTGGGGGCCTCTGAGAGGCCTCTCGGGGGTCTCCAGGAGCTTCTAAGGAACCTCTTGGCCTTCGGAGGCCATTTGGGGGCCCTTTCTGGGCTGTCGTGGGTTCCTCTTTGGGTGCTTTGAGGCCGTCTTGGAGGTCTATGGTGCCGTCTGCGGACCGTCTTGGGGGCCTCTTGGGCCATCTTGGGGCCATCTTGGACTGTCTTGCGGGCCTCTTGGAGGCCCCTGGGTCCGTCTCGGGGCAATATTGGGGGCCTATGGGGCCGATTTGGAGCGTCGGAAGCCCGAAAAGGCGAGAACCCTGAAATCATTGAAACACCTAAGGAAGATCAATAATTGTTGGCCTCCTGGAGGTCCTCTTGGATTCCTCGTGGGGCATCTTGGGGGCCTCTGAGGCCATCTGAAGGACATCGTGGCCCGTCTTTGGGCCGTCTTGGAGGCGTCGTGGGACCCATCGTGGGCCATCTTGGCCGTCTCGGAGGTATCCCGGAGGCTATCGTAGCCGTCTTGGAGGCCCTATTGGGGCCGTCTTGCGCTGGAAGACCGATGGGATGTGCCGTTCAGGCGGCTTCTGCCTGGCCGGCGCGTCAGGCTGAGACCCCAATGGAGATGTTCAAAAGAACCAAAGCAACCCAACGTCTGGCACGCCGTGCACCCCTGTGGCAAACCACAGCGGGCGGCGGATTCGGAGGTTTTCGGCCCATCTCGCCACCGTATCTAGGTCGTGGATGATGTTGCTCCCATCGTACTCGAGGACCACATCCCAGACATAATTTCGAGCACCTGGAACAGTGTCGAAAAAGTGTCGAAACAGTCTCGAAGCAGTGTCGAGAAAGTGTTGAACGAGTGTCTCCCAGGGCCCGACACGTGAAAACCCTCAAGTTTCGGTACTTGCCTGGTGTCCGAAGCTCTTTCTGGCGATCAAGGCCAAAGTAAAGGTTGGAACACCACAGGCCATGGACGCCGAGAAGAAAAACCGCGTAAGCGTAACCTCTTCGTAGCCTCGCGCGGACCGCCGAGAGCTCCTGGCCACGCCGTCGTTTCTTTCGCTGGTGGGGCCGGCTCTCGGGGAGCACCCTGGAGGCGCTGGGCCCCTCCTGGCGGTCTCGGGGGGGCCATCCCCGGGGGAGCGTCCCGAGATGTCGGCTCGGCCTCGCCCTCTCGGGGCCCTCTTAAGAATCCCAGGGGGTCGGGCCGAGCGGGAGGGGGGGGGGACAGGGAAAGGGGGGGCTGGTTTCGGCCCCGCCGCCAGGCCCATTCCTCGATACATGGGCGCCTCCCGGCGCCGGGAGGCGCTGGAAACATCAGCTACGTGAGCTGCTGATTCTCTACCCTTTGCTATCCCCCCCTTTCGTTCCTCCCGAGAAGGGCACTTCTGGTCGTCTCCTGGGTCCTCTTATGGCAATGCTGGGGGGCTCGTGTGCTGTTCTGGAGGGTTGGAAGCTCGAAAAAGGCGAGAACACCCATTTTCCACAAACAGAAAACACTGGAAAATCAGAATGTTGGCCTGTTGGGGCCCTCTTAAAGGTCCGATCGGAGCCCTCTTGGGTCGTCTTGGGGGCCTCTGAGGACGGCCTAGGGCGTCTTAGAACACTCTTGGGCCGTCTCGGGGCCCTCTGGCCCGTCTTGGCGCTCTTTGGCCTCTGAGAAAGTCACGCGGACACATGCGACATGCCCCTGGGCTTAGCTCTGGCCCCTTTAAAACAGTATGCGCACTTCTCCTCATACGGTGGATGGAAACGAGTAAGCAGCACTCCCCCCTCACCCGCAACTTACAGTTGGCACGTTTACGCATGACCGCTCGGACACTCGGAAGATCCAGAACCAACATTGCATTCGGGGGGGATCGGTTCTACAGGATTCCTGGATTTTTCCTGGATTTCCTGGAGTTTTCCTGGATCACCAAGGGTTCTACAGGATTCCTGGAGGGGGGGGGAGGGTTCAAACCATGCATGTTTCGAATAAGAAAAAAAGGCATAAACATAAATTGTTGGCGCTCCGCGCGGATTTCTTGGCTCCGCGCTGGTCCTCCCCGGCGGCGCCTCCGGCGCCGCCCCTGACGCGCCTCGCGCGCCAGGGAGGTGGGTCCGGCGCAGATCCAAGAACTCCGCGCGGAGCGCCAAAATTGTATGTTCATTCCGAGGCGGGAATTTATCCATATCCACCGCCTGGAAGGTCAGTTTTCGGAGCCTCGGCAGGCAGTGGATATGGACATATTCGGGCCCCCGGGGGCCGAAATATATCCATATCTACCGCCCGCTGGGGCACCAAGACGTCGGTTCCCAGGCGGTGGATATGGATAAATCCCCTCCTCGCATTCATGCCGTGGACTCTCTTCTAGTTCTGCGCGAGTGATGCTTAATTGTTTCCAACATCCGTATCGAGGATTGGGGGCGTCTGGGGAACGGAGGACGCTCCACTTCGTGCTTCGAGACACGGTGGCGGATTTCGGAGGCGGACAGCCTGCGGCACCCGATGGTGCTCTGCAAGGCCAGCTGCTTCGTGGAGATGGGCGGGCTTCGGTCCTACGAGAGCCTGCGCGACGCAGGCAAGCAGGCGATGGCAAACATGGATCAAGGGCGCGTGGATTAGCGACGGATCCCGTTTCCATGGGAAATCGCGGTTTTCCGCCGCCGAGCGAGGCGGCACTGGCCGCATTTTGGGGAGGGCACCTCCCCCGATCCATGGATTTGGCGACCGCGCGCCAAATCCATGGATCACTAATCCATGTCTGCGCGCCCCCGAGGCAAGCTGGTCGTCCTTGACACGATGGAGAAGGTCGCTTGGAGCCGGCCAGGGATCTGAGGTGGCCCGGCATTTGTCCCAGCCAGCAGAAGGATGGACAACGGGTCTGCTTCGTTGCCACGGCTGGGCGCGGCTCGAAAAATTGCTCAGTCTCGGCCCCGGGTGGGGTCTGGGGACAGATTTTGATCGGATTTGCCCTCGTCCCCCCCATCTTACCCTTAGGTCGGGCGTGTCCCCCTGCAGGCGTATTTTGGACGAAAACGTAAGAATTGTCAAACAAGTATTTCAAAATGTAAAAACAGCGCAGACCCCCTGGCCGCTTCGGCCGCTTCCACAGGTCGCCAACTTCGAGAGCGTGCACGCCATTATCTTCTTCTCCCACCAGTGGCTCGGCTGGGGCCAGCCTGATCCGGACAACGTGCACCACCAGACCATGGTCAACGCGATCAGGCAGCTTAAGTCGGGCACGTCCCTCTGCAGGGGGAATGTTCAAACATTTTTTAACATTAGAAGAATCCGCCGGCCTTGCGGGGCCATCAGGCTGCGAAGATTAGGCTTGCAGCCCTGTGCCAGATGCAGTTTGCATTTTCCACTTTTGCAATCCTGCTTTCTGCTTCCTTACTGTTAATTGTTGCTGAACGCGCGAGGGGGGGAGCCGAAAAGCGTCCTGGCTAGCGTCCCCGAATCGCGTTGTCTGAACTCCCCAGAGGGTCGTGGGACACATGACAATACATGATATTCGCGTCCCCGAGCCATAATTCTTTGCAAATTATACCAGATTCGGGTCCCCGAGGCCATAAACCTGTGTAAAAGATGCAATATTCGCGTCCCCGAAACCATAATCCGTAGTAAAGTTTACAAGATTCGCGTCCCCGAAACCATAAACTTTTGTAAATTACGCAATAGTCGCGCCCCCGAAGCCATACACCTTCGTAAAATACAAAGCCCCCGAAGCCAGAAACCTTTGACAATTACTGAATCTTCGCGTTCCCAGGGCCATAAACCTTCGTAAATTACACCATGCTTGCGTCCCCGAGGCTACAAACCTTTTGCAAATTATACTATATCCGCGTCCCCGAGGCCATACACCCTCGTAAGTTATGCAGTGTTTGCGCCTCCGAGGCCATCAACCCAAGTGATAAACGCCATGTTTTCGTCCCCGAGGCCACAAACCTTCGCAAATTAAGCAATATTCGCGTCCCCGAAGCCATACACCATCGCAACTTACCGAATATTCGCGCCCCCGAAGCCATAAACTTTGGAAAATTAATATTGGCCCTCGCGTGAAGTCCCGACATTGCTTCGCGTCAGCGTCCAGACATCCCAACGCAGCTCTGGCAAGTCCCATTCTAAGAGAGGGGGGCCGGCGGCATGGAGCGATGCCCTCACGGACAGTCTGGGGAAGATTTTTGTAGTTGTTTTTTGATTATTTTCCATTTTTCGCCCAAAATCCGCCTGTAGGGGGAGACGCCCGACCTAAAGGCAGTTGCAGAAGACGATGGGGAACCCGGTCGGCAATGGGCCTCTGCTATTGGAGGACATGTATGTTTGGGTCGACTACGGGTCCATCTCGCAGGAACACCGCGGGATGCAGATGCTGGCGATCTCCTCGCTCCCGGTCTACAGCTCCAATGCGCATGCCTTCGTCATCATCGCGCCCACGACAACTCACCAGGGCAACGGAGACACATGCGATCTGTGCTCCTACGATGCCCGCGGGTGGTGCCGAGTCGAGACTCTGGCGAAGGTCTGCGCATCTGGGATCGACAACATGTACATCATGGATGAGGTGGACTCTGATCTGCAGCCGGTCACCATGGAGATGTTCAAGCAGAGCCTCTCCCTGCGCGTCTTCGAGGGCACGTTCTCGTGCTGCGCCATGGGCCACAAGAGCCAGACCTACTGCGACAAGGAGCAGTTGGTGCAGTCGGTCCTCGGGCTCTACTTCAAGACCCTGTCCATGCAGGACGACCCGACCCGGAAGATGGTGCTCGAGCACATAAAGGATCCGGCGACGAGATCTACATTCTATGCATGTCCACTGCCCCTGACTGTGCCCAGGAGTGGCGCGTTTGTGTGTGTGTGTCTCCTTGGCCATGCCAGGAGGGCGTATACACCGCTCCTGGTGCCAGGATGGGCATGACCGGAGGCAGTGGATGTCCACAGATCTCGCAGCCCCGACGGCCCGAAGGAATCGAAGGATCGGTTCTTCCCGTCTTTCTTCACGTTCTCCTTGCCGGGCGGCCGGGAGGAGGAGCGCGAGCTGTTTGGGGACCTCGTGACGACCATGGAGGTTCGGGCGGAGCCAGGACTAGGAGAAAGCGTTCCAGCACGTTCCAGAAAGCTCTTAGAGCGTTCGGGAGCGCTCTGGAACGGCCGCTGCGCCTGGTACATCCTTAGAACCGCCGAGTTTGCCCCTGTCCTGGCTGAGAGGTCCACCACGAGAAGACGCTGCGGGAGATGCTGACGCCCATCCTGGAGGAGGACGAGGTCCCCGCCACCGTCTTCCGGCTCCAGCAGCAGGGGAGCCGGTCGTCCAGCAGGAGCTCTAAGGACCATTTGGCCCTGAACGTGGGGACGTCCAGAACAACCCATCGGAGCTTGGCCGTGTGAGTCCGCGGGCGTGGGCGGGCGGGAGCCAGGAGGCGAAGGACAGGGGGATCGCACTTGTAAAGATGACAAACATTTTTTGGAGCTCCGCGCGGATTTCTTGGATCGGCAAAGGGCCCCCCTGGCGGCGCCTCCGGCGCCACCCCTGGCGCGCTGGAGGAAGCTCCAGCGCCGATCCGAGAACTACGCACGGACCTCCGAAAGTTTGTCTCTCTTTCTCCTTCTCTCTCTCTCTGTCTCTCTCTCTCTCTCTATATAGAGAGAGAGGTTGCTGCTTCACTAGTAAGGCCGCGTGCGTCGGGTGGGGGTGGGGCAGGAGGCGAAGGAATGCGAAGGATACGAGGAGGAGGAGGAGCACGAGACCACCGGCAGGTTGCCATGGCCAAAGGGCCAGCACGTAGCGAAGCCTCAGCGTTTCAGATTCGAAAGCGGTGGCGTTGTGGAGTGAGGTGGTCGCCCAGTGTGACCTGCCTCACGTTTTAACATGGTCGAGCAAATTTCGAAGACGGTTCAAGATATGACCACGCGTGCCTCGTGCGTCCACAAGCGATGATTTGAGAGAGCACAGAGCAGACGGATTCGCGTACCAGACAATAACGATTTTGTCTGAACCTGTTTCGTCTTGAGATGTTTGCACATCTGGTTACAAGGGCCAGGTAATACGTGTATTCTGCAAGTGAGTCGCATGCAGGATGGCTCCGCAGGGTTAGATGCCTAAAGTCCTTTTGCCACTGCCGCCAGCCCCCTTGGCCCAGGCGTCAACGACTCCCTGGTCTCCGTTGTCGTCATGTCGTCGTTGTTGCCGTCTTCCTCATCATCCTTCTGCAGGTTCTCACAGCCTTCTTCGCGCTTTCTTCGTGTTCGTCGTCGGACCCAGCGCGCTGTGCAACGGATCGTGTTGCTGGGAGCGCGGGCCCTTCATGGAATCGCGTGGCCTTGGGCGGCCAGACCCAGAGTGTTCCACGCGAAGGGTTGTTGCGCAGGGAGCGCGGACCCAGCGTGTTCTGCAACGGATCGTGGACTTGAGGCTGCGGAGCCATGTTGTTTTACAAGGGAACGTGGTCCTGAGTAATTCGCGGCTCCTGCGTGCTCTACGATCGGTCGGGGTCTTGGGAGCGCGAACCCAGCGTGGTTCACAAGGGACCGTGGCCTTGCAAGTGCGGGGCCGGCAAGTCTTCGGAGGAGCCGCAGACCAAGGAGTGCGGAGACAGAGCTCTGCACAGGGTCGAGGCTTTTACAGCGCGGACCCAGCGTGCTGTACCGATGACGCGGCCTTGGAAGCGCGCATCCAGCATTAAGTCGGGCCTGTCCCTCTACAGGAGGACTATTCAAACATAGCCCAAACATAGTATGTGGACGATGTTTTAACATTTTCTGACCGTCTTTGGATTTTTTTGAGTATTCTTGATTTTTCGTCCACAATCCCCCTGTAGGAGGACATGCCTGACCAGAATCCAGCACGTCTATGAGGGATCGTGGCCTTGGGGGAGCGCTGACTCATCCCAAGAGGGTGGGCACGAAGCGATTTTCGTCCACGCCTGGGAGCACAGGCGGGCGGGTCGCCGAAGGGGGGGGTGCTATGCCCGGGGTCGACCTGACCTGTGCTCTGGCGATTTCGTGGGCCGTTTTCGTTTCGATCTCGTTTCGT